CTCTCCGGGACCGACACGCCGCCGCCATCTTGTTTACCGCCCTGCGCCGCGCCGTCGTCGCACGCCTCAACGGCGGACACGCCCCCCTCGCGGAGCTGGCGTGCGCGGCAGTTGGCTGTAGCCTCCGGCCCCGCCCCCCCGACGCGCTGCAATCCCCAGCGCTGATTGGCCTGTTTGGATCCGGGTGGCCGCTCGAGCTGACATTGGACCGCTCGGGTTCCCACTCAGAGGGCGGGATCTACGTTCTCATTGGTTGGCCCAGACGCCCGTCAGTGGGGATGAGAGTCTGCGAGCCCCTCTGAGGGAGCGACGGGAACGGCTGTGGGCTGTGGCTCCAAGCCCCGCCCCTCAGCGGGGCTCCAGACACGGGATTGGTCAGTGCTGGTGTGCGGGGGCGGGATCTTCTCTCTCAATGGTGGTTGTAGACGCCCGTCAGCGAACGGGCCTGGCCACGGGTGCGCGAGGGCTTGGTGACCTCGGAGTCTCGGGACTCGGGTTAGAGTTCGCGCGCGTCAACGTCCTCCGGGGAGCGGCGGCGAGGGGGGCCCGCCCGGGCTTGTTCCCGACGGCCCGTGGGCACGGGGGTCAGAGGGCTCTCCGAGCGGGACCGACGCCGGCCGAGCGGGCGGGAGCCATTCCTCCGGAGTGGGACCGGCCGGGCTGGCTCTGCGGCTGCAGGCGCTCGCCGCCAACTCGGACGGCCCGAGTTCGATCCCCGGGAACTCACAGGGCGCGAGGGGAGGCCCTCCTCCCGCGGGTGGCTCCGACCGGTGGCCAGCGCACGCACAGGCACAGACGCGCACACACACACAACACACAACACACGCACGCACAGGCACACAAGCACGCGCGCACACAATAATTTTTTTAAATAAAATAACAGCTGTCAAAAAATGTGGCTTGGTGCCGGACGGTGGTGGCGCACCCCTTTAATCCCAGCACTCAGGAGGCAGAGGCAGGGGGATCTCTGTGAGTTCGAGGCCAGCCTGGGCTACAGAGTGAGTTCCAGGAAAGGCACCACCAAAAATACACAGAAATGCCCTGTCTCGAAAAACCAAAAAATAAATAAATAAAACGTGGATTGGTAAGATGGGCGTCGCTGCCGGCCTGGACTTCTCCGCAGGGCACTGTTTGGGGTGTTCATTGCTTTGGTCGTTTTTAATACTTTAAATGTGTTGACTTTTGCGCGTGCGCCTGTTTTGCCTGCATGTGTGGAAAGAAGGGTCCGGGTTTCGTTGAGGGTGAGCTGAGCGCTCCCCAGCTGCACTCCCCGCCACACAAGTTAGGTCCGTGGACCCGGGTGTGGACGGGTCCCTCTGGGGCCACCAGGGGGCGGCGTGCACCGCCACAGGGAGGGCCCTGGGGACCAGACAGAGGCTGGTGAGGGGTTCAGCCTGCAGGATCCGGGGCGGGCGGAGGAGGAACCGGCTTCCAGAGAAGCCGAGGCCGGAGAGGGAGGTGACTGGAGGCCGGTCTGGGGAGAAGCCTCGGGTGCCGAGCTCTGGGCTCTTCCAGGGCGCCCACGAGGCCGCTCACAACTCTAACTGCACTCTTGGGGTTACTCTGGCCCCCAGAAGCACCGGGCGTGCACAGGTGCACACACGCGTTCAGGCGACACACTCATAGACGTGCAAAAAATATGTAAAAGGTGGTTTTACAAACCGTACAGGGGAGGCCGAGGACAGAAACGGGAGGGGCCCTGGGGCCCACTGAGTCCTGGCCCCCACAGCCCGGCTCAGACAGGCTCTCCGGACTTCCACCTTCCATTTCACAAGCACCCACCTCGCTCCCCTTCCCCTGGGTGACAGCCACGGGTGCCCAAGATGTCACCGTGATCCTCTGAGGGCAGAGTCACCACTGCTGAGGAACTCTGGGTCAGAGACACACTTGGAACTGTTTAGAGACTTACTGTGTTTACGTGTGTGTGTGTGTGTGTGTGTGTGTGTGTGTGTGTGTGTGTGAACACATGTCACACAGGAGCCCACATGGGCTAGAAGGAGGCGTTGAGTCCCCCGGGGCTGGAACTACAGATGGTTGTGAACTGCCCTGCAGGTGCTGGGAACCGAACCTGCGACTTCTGGCAGGGCAGCTGGTGCTCTAACCGCTGGCCCATTTCTCCAGCCCAAACTTGGAGGTATTTACAAATGGAAAGATGAGGACCTAGAGCTGTGACTCAAAACAATGGTCAGGCCGGGTGGGGAAGACTCGGCCCCCGACCTCCTCCCCTCCCGGTCTCTCTCCTTGAACTCCTGGTCCTCCGGCCTCCACGCTGGGATCACAGGCACGCACTACATCTGCTGGCTGCTGGATGTACTTTTGAGTCTTTAATTTGGGAATTCTGGAACTCACGACCCCTTCAATCATGAGAATTTCCCCCAGAACCCTCAGGTCCCAATCCATAGACGCCCAGGGGAAATGGCGCTGGGGAGGCCAACGCAGGGCGTAAAGAGATAACGGCTGAGGCAGGGTTCTGTGGGTACAGTGCCCGCCTGGTGGCACGGGAGCTCCAGTTCCCACCCAGCACCACAAAAATCAGACCTGCAGCACGCCTGCCATCCATGGCTCGGGAGATGGAGGCAGGGGGATGAGGATTTCAAGGTCATCCTCCACTACATGGTGAGTTCCAGGCCAGCCTGGGCTACATATTCAGACTCTGTCTCCAAAAAAAAAAAAAAAAAGTAAAAATACTAAAACTGGGCCAGGACTGGTGACACACACCTTTAATCCCAGCTCTTGGGAGGCAGAGGCAGGAGGATCTCGGTGAGTTCGAGGCCAGCCTGGTCTACAGAGCGAGTTCCAGGACAGCCAGGGCTGCACAGAGAAACCCCGTCTAGAAAAAAGAAGGAAATTAAATCTCAATAGAATACTGTATTAAGTCCAGTGTCATGGGGCACATTTTTAAGATGGTTGTGAGCCACCACGTGGGTGCTGGGGACTGAGCTCAGGACGTGGGGAAGAGCGGCCAGGGCCCTGATCTCTACAATCATCCCTCCAGCCATGGGGCACGCTCTTAATTCCAGCACCAGTGAGGCAGACGCAGGTGAGTCTCTGTGGACTTGGGGTGACTCATTATAACTGCCTACAACTCCAGCTTGAAGTTGGGGGTGGGTCTGACTCCCTCTCCTGGCCTCCTCTACCAGACACACACACACACACACACACACACACACACACACACACACACACACACACACGACAAGCACTCTCAAGATACAAAGAATGTTGGTTTCGTTTTTTTTTTCAAAAACCAATAAAAGAGTAAGTACATAGGAACAAAGGTTTCATCGGCAGAGAGATCGCCCAGTGCGCTGCCTGCTCTTGCAGAGGACCCAGGTTCGGTTCCCAGCACCCACATGGCAGCTCACAACTGTCCATGACTCCAGTGCCGAGGGATTGGGCGCCCTCTTGGCTGCCGCAGGAGCCGCATGCAAGTGGTGCCCATACATGCTGCTCAAACGCTCAGAAAAGAAAAGAAATCGCCGGGCGGTGGTGGCGCACAACTTGAACCCCAGCGCTTAGCAGGCAGAGGCAGGCGGATCTCTGTGAGTTCGAGGCCAGCCTGGTCTACACAGTGAGTTCCAGGACAGCCAGAGCTATACAGAGAAACCCTGTCTCAGGAAAAACAACAGAATTTCAAAATAAAACACCATAAAAGGTTCAGGGCATGACTCAGAGGTGGACAGATTCCCTGGCGTTCCTGGGTTCTCTTTCCAGCACCTCGACGTGGCTAAGTTAACTAGGTGAAGAGGTGTGGCCGCAGGACCAGCTCACGGTCGTCCTCCACTGCAGACGTTGACGCTAGCCTCCCAGGTTCCTAGCCTGTGGTATAGCTCAATCCTGCCCCCCGGGCCCTTTGTGCATGCTGTACCCAGGCTTCACCCCATCACCCTGGCTCTTCATGTGACTCACTGGAGCTCACCTCCAGGTCTCGGTGACCTTAGCAACAGCATAAAGGAGGGGTGAGTGTTTGTAAGGGGATGACTCGGACAGGTGAGTAAGTACTGGAAAGCGAGTGCTACCCTTGGTTCCTTTTGTTACTCAGCCACAGCTGACTAATACAGATTGCACGGTGTCTCCTAGCTCAGGACTCCGGGTTCTGTTCTTGCCTTGCACATCAATGGACCCATCTGAGAAATGGGGAAGGGGAGCCGTCCACTCCCAGCCTGAGATCGCCACCCTGAACCCCTAACTGTTGCTGTTTTTTTGGCTTTTTATTGGGGGCCCACCACCCAGCTCCCAAATAAATCATACCCAGAGGCTTATTATCACTTATGAATGCCCAGCCTTAGCTTGACTTAGTTTCTCGCCAGCTTTTCTTAAATTATCCCATCTATCTTTTGCCTCTGGGTTTTTCCTTTTCTATTCCCGTAAATTTAATTCT